TGTGTGTTTTAATCTATACTTAATATTATAAGGAGGAAAGATTTGATTTGTTTGTTTGTTTGTTTGTTTGTTTGTTTATTTGTACTGAATAGAACGAAATTACTGAACTGATTTAGATAAATTTGGTAAGAAGATATTTTCATACCCTGAGAAGGACATAGGATAGTTTTTATCCCGGAAATCATGTGAAATCCCGGAAATCAAAAAACTTTGTATGGGGAAGCAACCTAAGCGAGGGTGAGTCACTAGTTACTTCATAATATGCTGGCATAAGAGTTTTAAAATACTGCATTGAAGAAAAATTAACTCAAATTTTCAAATACCATCAATTATATATTGAGTATATATTTAGCGTGACCTTAAAGATACTTTAATTTCCATTGTAATTTTTAAGCATTTAAAAAAACAACACTAAGTAATCCATTCGAAAAATAAAATCAAGCAGTAAATATTTCATCATTCATGTTTGAAATTGTGCTTTAATAGGTACCCAAAATTACTTTTCAAATTGAACAGTCGGATTTTCGAATCATCACCAGTGCTCAGATAAATGGTTATAAAATTGATCTTTATACGATTCCGTAAATAAAAAAATAATGGAACAAAATAACTGTACATTGTGTTTATTGGTAAAACGTTTCTAAAATAAAAAAGATTTTCTACGTAAGTTTAGTTAGGTTTATTTGATTTGTTTCATCTTTTGGCCGAGCGTATTATGTTTTATTAAATTAAAGAAAAAGCTAGAAAAGTTTTTTTAAAAGTTGCAGAGCAGGCTTCCAATATGTTCCAAAAAACCCCAAATACATAAATAAAGAAAATATATACCGTACATAAAATTGTAAGATGGTCAAGGTGACCTTATGTACATATTTATTTTATAATGCAGCTTTTATAAATGGTGCAATATTTCATAAAGATTCACGACACTGGACTCGATGAAAGGATATATTCGTCACTGAAAAAACCTTTGAATCCTTTTGAATACGAGTGCTTGCAAAAAGCTTTATGAAACTGACGTCGGATGGACCGAGTGATTCCATGGACTTATTAATGCAGGGGACAAATTGTAGGTTACGTTGAAATAGAAAAGTATTCAAAAGCGCTTATTAAAATTTATTGTTTCGTTTGGAATATAATAAGGATTGCGTTTGGTACAGGTGTATCCTACACGCTTAAAATTCGAGATGATTCGTGTATCTATTCTTATATTCGGAACTTCTAAAAATCAACTTATTTTTTTAAGGTCGTTAGTGGAGGCTCCATTGGCATGGAAAGCAGCTCTGCTGAGAAGAGACGGCGTGAAACTCAACAGTTGGTTTTTATTGTATTATTGTATACTTTTTTTTTTTACCTAAACCTCCAACATGGGGGAAGGAGTCTGTGTTTTCTACTTCTTTCATACCAGTTCTTGCTTTTATGCTTCTCGCACTTTCATTCCGCATACTATGTCTTTCTATCATTCATCCGCATTCGTTCCTAACTATCTATCTATCTATTTTATTTAGTTTCTTTGTTCTTATACTATGTAACACGGGGATAATAATTGGGGGTAGTCGGTAATTTTTATTTACAGTTTAGGCTTATTTATGTATGCTCTTATTATTAGACTTATCCTATTTATACACTATATATTATATATGTTACCACTAATATACTATACTATATTTGTTTAACATATTATTAATAACTCTTATTTCTATTGTTTACAGTTTTACATAATTTTTTACAGTATTGCAGGAATTTATCTCTTTTTTTATTGTCTTTCATAATTTTTGGTAGTGCATTTTTATCTAGTTTTAATCCGATTTGTGCTTCTAAATAATATCTGTCTCTATCGTGTACCGGGCACTCTAAAAGAACGTGGAGGGCAGACTCTGGACATCCAGGGTCGCAGACGCACGACGGACTCTCCTTGCACTTGAAGCGATGCAAGTACTCGGAGAATCCGCCGTGCCCCGTCAACATCTAGGTGACGAGCCTGTCCACCTCCATCTTGCCAACTATCTTATACGCCGCCGTCGCGTCCGGGAAGAACGTCTTCGTTACGCTAGCGGTCTCGCCATCTTGGTATCGCTGGTTCCATTCATCAAGCGAACGCATGCGAATGCTCCGCTTGATGAATGAAACCGGGCAGCTGTCGTAATCGGGGGCACGCTTCAATTTTAGCGCGGCTTCCTTGACCAAAACGTCGGCTCGCTCGTTCCCTTCTAGGCCTGCGTGGGCCTTGATCCAGAATAAACTAACCTGTTTATTCTCTTCTCACTACGCGACAATACATTCCTATTATTATCAAATACGGTTGCAAAAACAAACACTTTATAAAAAATCATTTATTTTTAAAATTAAACTTTTTTTTCAAAACGGTTTATTAAAAATATAAAATCTTACGTCGGCACTATTGTGTCTTATACTCGTACGTTAAAAAAGCGGAGGCGTTTAAGTACTTATTACACTTTCTTTTTTTTTCAGAATACTTAGTGACCTGACGATTCAATATTGTGTCGTATAAAAAAATATGCAACATTTTTACATAGATATACGAATGAGATTTTAGAGGGATGCAAGATTAAGTGACGATATTATAAAAAGGTAAAAAAATGAAATAAAAACATACCTATAAGTATTTGTAATCTTGAGAGTATTTTTTTATTTATAACTAGCGACTTACCCTTACTTCGCTTTGGGTTCGTCCCTAGACAAAAACAAATCTATCCCACGGGAAGCGTACATTTTTTCGAGATCAAAAGTAATCTATGTGCTATTCCAGACTATAATCTATCTCTGTGATAAGCTTCATCCAGATCCATTTAGGCGTTCTGGCGTGAAAGAGTAACAAACATCCATCCAACCATCCATCCTCACAAACTTTCATGTTTATAATATTAGTATGGATGTAGCTTATTCATTACAGAGTCTCGCATGAAGAGAAAAACTGATATGCAACAAAAGCAAAACTTTTATCAGAGTTCTGACAATGTAGCAGTTTATTCATTGCATTATAAAATCAAGTAACAATGACGAGTTCAAAACATTCTAGTCGTATTTTATAGAAAGTTTTGAATTTTCTCTTACTTAATCATTTTAATTCATACTTCTGCGGTAACCATTGTCTGGAGAAAACTAATCTGATAAAAAATAAAATAAAAGTTTTGTCTGTTCTGGATCTGCAGGGTATGGCGACATAAATTACTCAACCAGATATTAGTCTTAATCAGATTGAGACGAAAGTGGTATGAGACCTTATACTCGTATGTACGAGTACTGACTTACTGTATGTACGAACATGCGCTCTAGATTTTCTATGACCTTATTTACGTCTCAAAATATCACTTCTAATAACCTTTAAATAAAAGTTCTTTATTGTAATCAAACCCATACTTAATTGTAAATGAGAGGTTAACTCTGATATCTTTTCACTCATAACGGGTTTACAGATTTCGATAAAATTTGGCATGGACTTAGAATGCATCCAGGGGATGGACATTTTAGATCCCCGCCTACTTACCACGCGAGCGAAACTTCGTGCTTGGTGGTTTATGTAAGATGAACAAACTAACAAACTCACTTGTATTTAAAAACGACTCACCCTCGCCTCCTCTCTAGGTACGTTTTAACGGTTAGTATAGAATAGACTATATAAATGTACATTGTAAATGTAGATACATAAGTATAAAAAAGTAGATAAGTACTTTAAAAATTAAAAAAAATATATCCCTTACTTGAGTAAAGATTAGTTCCCATAAAAACTTCCACCCATCTCCCTATTCACCCCTTTAAGGGATGACTTCCGGGATAAACAGGATGTCCTTAACAGGGTCTTAAACTATCTCCATACCAAACCTCTAAATCGGTTTAGCGGATTAAGGGTGAAAAGGTAACAGACAGACAGACAGAATTACTTTCGCTATATTATAAATAAAACACTAATAGAGATCTATTAATTCCCACGGGAACCGTTCTTCTTTCCCGGATGAAAAGTAACCTGTTATTTGACCGGCAATATAAGGTATCAGAATGTTAAATTTTACTAAATTAGGTGCATAAATTGTATAAGTTTATATAGTTTTATAAAACTAGTAGATAGTTATAACTATCCCACGGGAACTATTTAATTTTCCGGGATAAAAAGTATCTAAGATGTTGCCCGGGGATATATGGTACCACCATGGAAAATTTCATTTAAATCGGTTTTATAGATTCGGAGATTAGCCCGTACAAACAGACAAACAGACAGAGAAACAAAAAATTTGAAAAAAAAACTGGATTTGTTCTATTTGTCTTCTTACATCCCCCTGACTAGGTTTTTAGCATTTTTTTGCAATGTACAGACATTCGACCTCTACTGTTTTATTATAGTATAGATTATTAAATTAAACAATCCTTTCGGATTTTTTCGCGGATTTATTTGGATTATTGGTTCCCGACGTTTCGAATGCTTTACAGCAATTATGGTCACGGGAGAGACTAGATAGTTTTATTTAAAATATCAAATATTCGCGTAAATCTAAGAAAGTAATATAATATTAGTATGAATGTTTAATATTATATTAAAGACAGCTGGTGCTGATATATATGTAAGCGTACAACCTACACATATAGACCCCTATAACCTCAGCGACGCTAGTAAATGAATGGTTAATTAATATTTACACGACCAGGCAGTGTCGACGGATTGATTTGCAGGAATTCATTAACTATTCTACCATAGTTTCTATTCAAATTTACTTAGAATATGAATAATATTTGCTTTCGCTTGAAATGGTAGTTGTATAATATAATCGTTTTGAAACATGAAAAAGGAAATAACAATATTATTACTATTATAATAATACATACATTTCGAGAACCACTATAAAAGTTTCTTACAATGCAAATAAAATGCGTTTAACTCTCGCGTTCACACTGTAAATTCTTAAACAACTTGTCGTTGGAATTTATTCAATTTCAATAAAAAATCTGTACAACGAATATAAAACTGATGTAAATTTACTTTAATAAATATGAGAGAAATGCTATATGCTATTTTGTTATTAATGTTCTGGCGATCTGTACTAGGAGATACAGATTCCGCTGCGGATAGCGATTATGGGACAGGCTTAATTTCAACATTACGAAATGATGCGAATCTAGATCTGCCAAAAGACGAAGAGTATGAGGATCTAAGAGCAGAGCTGTTAGCCTACCACAGTGCGCTCGCTTCGCTAACATCCCGAAGTAAGTTTATCCAATTTATTACTTTAAACACACTTGTATTTGCACAACGTACGTGATGGGAATTGTGTGTTGATGCTCTTTATATAACATCCTACGTAAATCACTTAAATACTGTAGATTTATAAAGTAAATACCTAAACTTTGTATGCTATTGTTGTTGTGTCTAATAGAATGTACGAATAAAATATTATCCTATTTATTAAAACCTTAGCGGTTCGCCCTCGCTTCCGTCCGTCACACTGTTTCGACGTGAAAGAAGGACGAACCAAACAAACAAACAAATAAAAAAAAACAAACAAACACACTTTCACAGAGACGTAGAAGGTGGCACACCTTGGGAATGAAATGATCGCCTCCAGGCTACTTCAACTTGATAGAAATATTGTGAATTATAATTTTACTTTAAAAAAGATTATACTTTAAGAAAAGATATTGGTCCCGCTGAGTTTCTTTTGCCAGTTCTTCTCAGGTCTGAGGCTTCTTCATTCCGAACTGGTCGTAGACTCATGACGTTCAGTAAAAATTGTAATAATTTAATGCTGAATACAATATTTTGATTTGATTTGATTTGACATTTATAATATTATAGTATGGATATGGATTTGCCATTTATCTCCTAGTTTTTCAATTGAGAAAAAGTACTTCGCGGTATCGACATATATTTGTGATGATAAATGGTTACATTGTGGTTATGTCTTTTGATATAGCTTCAGGTGCTCATAATTCTAATTCAAAATCGTTATCACTCACCAAGAAGATATAAGAACCAAATTGTTTATTAAATGTTGCCAATATTTCATCAAATCTTGCAATTCTCTCTTTAGTTATTTAATGAAATTGAGATGGTATTTTTCTTCGTTTGCTTGTCGACAATAAAGAATCCTTTGAATTTTTTATTTCTTTCACTCTAAAATTAATGTGAATATTTATTCGATGTCTCTGAGAATCTAGTAAAACCTACATAAATACTGATGTTAGATATGTGTCTAATTAGTTGTAAACTCAAGAGAATAAGGCATATATGTACATTGTACTCGTATATACCTTATACCTCTACCACAATTAAGACGAATCATGTAACATAGACATAAGCTAGAAGTAGAACCCATCAATCAATCCATTTAGACTACCATCTTCCAAAGTTTTTTAGACATGTACATACATACAGTACAATATTATGAAAAAGATATTAAATTTAGAAACTTATCCTCACATTGTGCTGAGTAGCAAATGGGCACATTTTACTGAAGCCTCATATTAATTGATTGATATCCGTCAGATTCCGTCGTAACATATGAATGTAATTAATTACGCAGCTTTTCCCGTCAAACAGATTTTACTGACGGACCTTACTTTGGGTAGAACAATGTATTTTTAAAATTAATTTATACTCAACATTTACTAACCGCAGCTTTTGTGTAAACTTTACGTCATATATTTCACCATGATTATGTTCTATGAAAAAAGAAATCGAAAGAAATCTGCAGTGTATAATAATATACTATGTATATGTCATTGTAATATAGAGGGTAGTTTCTTTATAAGAATAAATTATTCATATAAACTTTCATCAATTTCTTCCCCTTTTTCTCGAGGATTTGTTTTTCCGGTATATTTACGGAATGATAATATTCTGAACACAATGCGAGTATAAAATAACATTTGTCATACTAAGGCTTAGAAAAAATGACAACAGTTAGAATTTTCATACAAAGTATCTGCTTATTCACAGAAATCTAGATATCACAAATTATAGATATATTTAAACTTCAGCTTTATCTTGTAGGTATATATATATTCGTATATCACCTTAAATATATTCTATAAGCATTTTTTTTCTTTTTTGCTATATTCTATTTTGGTATGTTGTCAACACAAACATGAATATTTCATGACAGTATACTCTTGGAAATGATTTCTTTTTAGGAGTATTCCTTTAAATTGTTTTAGTGCTTCTGCTTACCCTCGCTTCGTTGTACCTACGCTTTTAGTTTGGATAATTCAGGTTGAAGATTCACTTTACTACTAATTTATAATTTATTATTTTATTTTGATGATTGTTGATTTTAAATAGTGACAGAATTATCAAAATCGGCTTAGTAGATTAATAATTTATCGATTATAAATAAACACAAATCTTTCCTCTATACAATATGAATTTGCAGAGATTATATTGTTTCACGAAAACAGGGTTTCATGTTTATTTCATAATATTTTTAGGATCTATGATATCTACAACGTGTTGGCGTCTTGGTGGTATATGCATTAACCACAAACTCTGTCCCGGCTATCGTCAGCTTACTGAAGTGCCTGGTTGTAAAAATCGTTTGAATGTATGCTGTTTTGTATGGAATCAATATGAAGTCAGAGATTTAAAAGATAAAGGAATAGGCAACGCAGCTTTTCCTTGGCGTATAAAACATGAATTTGGCGGCGAGGGAGTAGTTCAAGTCACTCCGAAGAGTCGTAAGAAAAAGAAAAAGACTACAAAGTTTACAGACAAACCTAAAGAAGTACTTTTAAGAAACTACATACATACATTTTGACTTGAAAACACATTTATCATTTTAAATTAGGTTCCAATAAAGGAAATACTGTAAAAGTTTTTTACGTTACTATTATTTATTTTGTCAATAAAGTAAAAGAAAACAATTCAGAAGCAAATTGGAAAAAACAATGTTCAAGTCTTCAATCTTTGTCAAACTTGAATAGGAAAAGCTATTGAGATGGCTACATCAGACACACCTGCGATCATAGAATGATAGGCGCAATTTTGTTTTGAGATGGGTTTTTACTGAGTGCTCGATAATTTAAATTTAAAGCGACACAATTTCTTATAGCTTTGTAGTAAAAGGAAATTAATAAGCCATCATGTTTAATTAAAACTAGATTGATAATAATAGGATGAGTTTTGAAACAAAAGAAATTTCTATAAGTATGTATATAAAAAAGTTTTGACTTTCGTAAATGTTGCTAGTTATCTACGCAATTCGCAATTTGAATCTTTAACTACAAAACATTAGATAAATTTGTATACGAATAGTAGCCCAGGGCGATAATCGAACCGGTGATCGAATATACAATATCAGTCAGATGTAAACAGAGCCATATGTATATAATAGCAGAGCACAGTTTATTACTTACAAAACTTATTTAAATTTAGGCTGGCCGCATATTATAAGATTTTTCAACCGACTTCAAAAAGGAAAAGGTTCTCAATTCGACTGTTTTTTTTTTATGTTTGTTACCTCAGAACTCCGTCATTTATTAACCGATTTGGACAATTTTTGTGTTGTTTCAAAGGGTATACTTCCAGATTGGTCCCATTTAAATTAAAAAAAAAATACCACCCCTAAGGGTGGAAAAATAGCTAATGATGAATTTAACCTACTTCTAATTGTCATATTAACTTTAAATTTGCAAGTGTTTCTATTTCCGTTGATAGTACAGTGGTTCGGTAGTATTGACCTAATCTGATGGTAAGGCCAGAAGGTGGATAGGTGGAACTCTTCAACGGCTAATAGTAGATACTTTGAGTTTGGGCTTATTTTGTTTGATTTGACAAGCCTAACACGTTAGAATTCTTACTTCGCTACTACTGTATACACTAAAAAGGGAAAAATAAAAAACTTTTTAACAAAAAAAAATAAAAACCGACTTCAAAAAAAAGCACTAAAAAGTAAAAAATAACTGATTGGTAGTTTTCATTTACTATACATACCTAATCAAATATTTTAGAAGTCGGTGTGCTTTGGCTAAGTAATTAAAGCCTACCTATTAAATACATACCTAATCAAATATTTTCAAAATCGGCGCCAGCCCATACAAAGCAAAGCACACCGACTTCGAAAATATTTGATTAGGTATGTATATTAAATGAAAACTACCAATCAGTTATTTTTTACTTTTTAGTGCTTTTTTTTGAAGTCGGTTTTTATTTTTTTGTTAATTCTCTCAGAAAATTTCTGACGTCCCCGGTACCACGCTGCACACTTATCAGAAACTTCGTTCTAGAGAGTCTGAGCTTAGTTTGCGGCTGGCCGGCAGCATAGTTGGAACACTCTTGGGTTTATATAGAAAAAAAAATACCTATTATAAAACTAAAAAAACCTGACTGCATAAAAGCTAAATAAAAATATGAAAACTAGTTGAATAAGGAATAAAGTATTATTCAGTCGGAGACATACACGTTTCGTGTTTGCTGTGAGATGTATCCACATATTATGTATGTATGTCTCCGACTGCTTAATACTTTATTCCTTCATCAACTGGTTTTCATCTTTTTAGTTAGCTTTTATGCAGTCGGGTTTTGTTTATTTTTATAATATATTTTTTTATTTACAGATTTTTAGTTTTTGCCAATAAGAACATTTGAAATTATACTTAGGATTTTTTATCCTAAATTACTTTTAAACATATAAGTTGAATATGTTTTTGTGATCGCCTCTTGGAAACCTTTATTTTAACACTCCACTCAATTCGTTTGGAAGTTTTTTTTTATAGACACAATTTGGCGCCTGAAATCCGCCATATTTTTTATTATTTTTATATAGCCTATGACATTCGCGTTATTAATACGCATTTGGCCTACGTGGTCTCTAGAACGCCTCATAGGACCATACATACATACATATATAAACTGATAAACACATTACCCTCCTTTGCGTCGCGCAGTCGGGTAAAAAACAAAATGGACGATGAGTTACTTTTATAAGCCTTATTTTTCTATTTGGTGAACAAAAAAGAAAAATGAAAGGTTGGTACTGGGTTCATCCACTTAACTGCAGTAGATTGCAAGACAGCCAATTTTACATGAAACACGCGAAAATGAGATACTATCCGAATTGTTCTTCTTCTTTTCTTTGGAATGCTTTCTTCTTCTTTTTCTCTGTTTTTTTTGGTGTCTTCTTTTCTTCTTCTTCTTTTCTTTGTGATTGATGTTCGCTATCTTGTCTCGCCATACCGAGTAAACGCGTGCATCATCACAGCGTCCGCTCGAATATTGATGCAAATTTCTGACAAGTGTGCGGGATTTAGTACAAAATGTATACAGGGCAGGCCCCCCGACGTTCTGGTCAGAAAAATTCATACGTCCGATTGATTGCATCACGATATCATGCACATGTATATCACGCATGCTATCATGCGGGGTCTAGACCAAAACATATGAACAGAGTGTCTTCCAACAGGCGTTAGAAATTTTCTGACAGAAAAAATCTTATAATGTGCGGCCGGCCTTAACTAAGTTTACGAAATATTAAATTTCTTTATAAGAGACTAGCATTGCCCGCGGCTACGCCCGCGTTCAGATGACCAAAAACCAAATTCTTAGGTTTTACATATTAGTATACTCTAACGATGCAGTTTTTGTATTTTTTCTCAGAAATGAGATATTTTCCCGCAATAAAAAGTATCCTATATGTTGACCCGGATAACTAACTATTGCCATACCAAATTTCATAAAAATTTCTCCAGTGGTTTTTCTGTGATGCGGTAACAAACAGACAGGCAGACAAAAATTCTAAAAACTATAGATTCGGCCTCTGTATCGATAATAATATTTATTTCAATAACATTTTCCAAAAAATATTTAATGTACAGATTCGGCTTAGTTACAATTTTATTATATGTATAGATAAGAGCAATACAATCATAATTAATACGTTTTATCAGCTGTGAAATCAATTACGAAAACAATCAGACCTTTTGCGAGTACATTACGTTAAATCAATTAGTAATTCTACGCAGGCCTTTGAGAGGGAGCCATGCTGTTTATCATCGTATTCACGATAGCAACTCTAATCAGCCTTACGTCGGGGAATACACCAGATAAGCGAAACATTGATTTCCCACCCAAGTGAGCAGAAGCATACAAAGATATATTCGCGACGGACAAAGGAGGAAAACCCAAACTCGGTTAGTTCACAAACAAAATGTACCTTATACAATAATTGCTTTTACAACATTTGATATGTGTAAGGAGTTCATAATGCCATTCTTACATCTTATTTTTAATATATAAAAATCAATGTATGTTTGTTTTTCCGTATTTCGTACGCTGCTATACCGTTGATCCGATTGCGATAAAACTTTGTCAAATTATTACTGAATTTACAAGAAGGTTATAGACATAGTACAATTAACTGACAATAGGTAGCGTTTATGCCGTACCGGCAAATTTATTTGTAAAACCATTATTTGTCAAAAACACTGTTTTCATACGTTTACTAACTGCTAAAGTTGACTGAACCTTAGAGATACATTAAAACAATGTACCTACTAGAAAATTGTAGGCCTTAAGAAGGCCTAGAGAAAAGTCCGTTATAACATCTACATATGTATGTATGTCCCAAGGCATACTCAAAATAAATATTTTATATATTTAAAACGTACCTGGGGGCGCATCCGAGCGGAACGAGAGTAAGTCAATAGTTTAAAATATAATTATTGTCGAATAGACATTAGAAACCTTAGTCTCTCAGGTGATAATTGTTTGTATAAAACATTCGCAACGTCATCATCATCAGCATTAGACTGAAAACAAAAAAAATATAATAGTTTTAATTTTCTTAAAAAAATATAGTTTTATTTATAACTAGCGACTCACCCTCGCTTCGCTCGGGTTCGTTCGTACGTTTTAACGGTTAATATAGAATAGATAGACTATATATTATATACATTTATACATAGGTACGATGAGTTGTTGTGGGTTGTATTATGTAATTTTCCAGCCCTCGAACTATCTTTACACAAAAAATCATGCCAATCCGTCCTTCTGTTTTGACGTGAAAGACTGACAAATAAACAAAGTCAAAGTCAAACTGTAGAGCGTAGAAAGGAAAAGTGTAAAATCTACATATGCAGTCAAATAATTAAGATTAATTTTAGTGTTGCGTTCATAAAGTAGTATAAATTAGTAGTCAGGAAAAATAAAAATGTGATTTTAAGTTTTTCCGTGAATTTTTCCCAATTTTTCTCTTCATAGAACCTTCCTCAGATTTCAACGAATATTTAAAAAAAATATATTGCTGGATTGATCATGCTGTTCTCGAGTTTTGCGCTTAGTAAAATATTTAGCCATTCATTTTTATTTATATATATTTAACAATTTTGTATAATAAATTGAATTTTAAAAGAAACATCCAAAGGACATTAAGTAGTATTACCACCACACTAAACACACAGTTATATTAAATTTCAAAATGATTCTTTAAAGTCGTGAATTAACCCCAAACGAAAAATCCTTTGTAAAATGGCTAACGAAATATTAAATAATAACTTTGTCTACAAAATAATACAAACTTTTCAAAGGTACAAAATAATTTACAGTTAAAGTCAAACGTAATTCTATTAACTAAATGAAAAAGGAAACACAATTACATGAAATATATACTTACAATAAAGAATTCTTTGAAAGTAAATGATATGCTAAATTGAATCCAGAAATTCAGTTAGACTTTTATTTACACTGTATTTAATTTATTGTCTTACATGAATGTATCTTACGAAAATTTAAGAACTCGCTTTCAAAAAAATATGTGGA